GTAGTGTATTTATCCCTGTGATTCTGAGTCGATATCCTGCAAAACACTAGTCAAGGCAGAATCACATGGAGACATAAAGTGGTGAAGTTCATGAGTTCACCTTTGCAGTGGCTCTGTAAGTAAACACCATTTTAATACCCGGCAGGAAATTCTTGGCTTGCTTTGTCAGAAACATTTTACGTTGACTTTATTATCTGTTAGTGTGAGCAAACGCATAGTGAAAGTCATTATTGCACAGCACAAAACTAAGAGTAACATCTGGCAAAACAGTTCCTCCTTAAAACCAAATGTATTTTCTTGCAACAGTGCTTATTTAGCTGATCTTACAAACAAAGTACCTGTGGGTTACAAATGATTTTACTGATGAATATTTTCAGTGCAACCAAATTGCAACATCAGCTGTATGTTCAAAGGATTGTTGGACATGGAGCCAAAGATTAGGTTATCTACTGAACAATGTTGATCAAGGTCTGGGAGTGCAGTTTGGAGATTGAACGAATCATTGTTTTTTTTTTGTTTGTTTTTGTTTGTGTTTTTTTTAGCATTTTTCCTCTTTGTTGCCAAATTCATGTTTACGCCACATTATTAAATTTCCATTGATGACTGATTGTAAAGGCATCCCAAAGACTGGACTCAAACTGAACACATTATTACAGCTTGTGTTCATTCACCTCTGTATAATAAAAGACTTAAGGGTTACAGTCCAAAATGTGAACTGAACTTTGGACCAAAGATGTCATCACAGGAAGTTGTTGTGTTCTACTGGACTGACCTTTAATAAAGTGCCAATTAATATGACGCTGCTCATTAAAATCGTATGCATTAGTTCTGTAGACTGCAACAGGGCCCCCATTCTAGTTACAAAGAAAGAGAGATATGGAAGGAATAACAAGCCATAGAGTCTTGGATGAGTACTGGTGTTTTAATAAAAAAATTAGACATATATATGGCTGCAAGTAAGTCAGTGTACATCCATTAAAATACAACCCCTCCTAACACTCCATTGTCAGCACAGCAGACAGTATGAAAGTCTTGTTGGATGCTGCCGGAAAACAAAACACCAAATTGAACCCCAGCTAGTTGCACTGCTGTGGGCCTGACCTTTTACAGCAAAACCAGAAATGTTAGTGTCACCAGGAGAAAACACTACTGATTAACACAGCTACTACCCTGTCCCTGACGTCATTATAAATCAGCATCACCTGGCCGCTGGTATTTGTGGTTAAATACTGAATTACATTGGGACACAACCAGATTCAAAGTGACAGCATGAGGCAGAGAGGTTACCATTCATATTTGTGAAAGTCTTTTTTTGGCTTTCTTTTTAAACATAGAACTAAAATTTGGGGTAAAGTAAAGATCTTGCAATTCAAGTCCATCCATCCATCCATTATCTATAAAACGCTTAATCCTCATTAGGGTCGCGGGGGGGCTGGAGTCTATCCCAGCCGACTTAGGGCGAAGGCAGGGGACACCCTGGACAGGTCGCCAGTCCATCGCAGGGCCACACTTAGAGACAGACAACCAAGCACACTCACAGTCACGGACAATTTAGAATCACCAATTAACCTCAACATGTTTTTGGACTGTGTGGGAGGAAGCCGGAGAACCCGGAGAGAACCACGCTGCACGGGTAGAACATGCAAACTCCACGCAGAAAGATTCCGGTGCCCCCACCGGGACGCGAACCAACTGCTACCAACTGCGCCACCTTGCAGCCCGCAATTCAAGTCCAGTGATAAAATCTTTGTGAAGTGTAAACCATAAAGTCAATATTATATATATTTTTGTTGTTGCTTGGTGTGATAAATTAAAAAAAGACAGGTAAAGCTTCTTTTTTTTTTCAAGAAGGTAAACATTAAAAAACACTTTACACTAGAGCCCACGTAAACAGCAGAATGGCTATCAATATACGGTAGGCGTTTGAGTTATTAATTGGAGAACATAAAGTGGAAATACAATGAAATTAAACTGCATATGAATGGTTAACACAAACAACCATTCAAGAAAAAACATAATAGATAGTAAAATGTTACAACAGAAAGAAAAGGTTTATTTGCCAAGCTGTCTGCTCTTATACAATGCATTATGTAGTGTGAAGTGCCTACTGTAGTGTCAGAACACCAGCAGACGGTTGTGGACTGTCAGGATAATGCCAGTCAACTGTGTAGTAATTCGTTCCCTGGACTGACCCCTAGAATGATCTAACCATAATGAACATGATTGTCCTAGCAGGGTCTCTCGAACCTCCCATGAAACATACAGTGCAGTTCTGACCATGTGGCTTAAACACTACTAACAACGCTAATCAGCTCCGTCTGAGCTGCATAAAACTGCAGTCTATTTTTTTAAAAAGTACAGAATGATAAAGAACTTTCTTTTCTTTTGGAGAAAAAAAACCCCAGCATAGATTCTGTCTTTGAAGTGATTTTTTTTTTAAAATTTCTCCTGTGCACGTTTTGTGATTCACAGAAGCTGTGCATTTCCAAATTCCTTGCCATCTGTGTAAATGTGATACCTCTCCTTAGTACAATGAACTGGAAATGGAAGCTGTGTTTCATATAATCCCCAAATCCATCCAACTCTCACATCCTATCATGCAAATTTGGTGCAGTTTGAAGAGAATCCGGTCTCCGAACCATATGCTTGAGCCGTGTAAAAGATACAACAATTTATTATGCATGCATTGCACCAGGCTTATGGTAATAAGGTATTAAATTAGTGCTGGACATTATTGCTCTTCTATATTACCTCTGCTCAAATGATTTTCATATAAGTCACAAAAACAAAACAAAAAAAAGAAAGAAAGAAAAGGTTGAGATTTTTGAAAAGATCTGTGGGCAAGCAATACCTTTCTTTGGTTGGAATAACATTTGATCATTCAGATAAATTCTGCTCAAAACTCTTAATTAGATCTGTGTCCAACTATGCCACTGTTAGCTTTGTTATGGTGCTTCGAAATCAGGTTATTTACATAGAGAAACAGCAATTTGCCCAAATGACTATGGAATGTAATGAGCTTTCTTGTACTGACTGTTCAGTGAATAAATTCACTATAACTCAAGTTTTGTTTCATTTTTCTAACAATTAGACATTAATTAAAATTAATGGAGGAAGGGAAAACACAAATTCCAATACAGTGAAAGATTCCCACAATGTAAAACATTACAAGTTCCCTTTTCTACCTGAAAACAAATATGTTATAAGTTTGCTGTTATTATGCAAAGCAAACTCCACTTAGTTAAGCTTAATGAAAAGAAGAAAACAACTGCAAATTTTTTGTCAGATATTTTTTTATTTTTTTAATATTTTGATTTATGCTGAGCTAGAATTGCCAGATGTTATTCATGTAACCATTTCATTCCAAAGCGTGAAGCAAAGATGTAAAATAAGTTACCAAAGTGACTAAAGTGAATGTGTCAAATTATAGTCAAAGGAAAAAAATATGACTAAGCTTCCCTTTAGACATGCCACAAAATGACACTTCGTTCTGAAAAGTCAATTCTCTCATGTTCTGGAGGCTTTAAGTTTCCATTTCACTAGCTGGGACCACGCCAAAAAACTGAAGCTTGATTCCTGAAAGCGAATCAGTGTTGTGTAGGTGATGACTGAAAAAAGTTGATGTGGTGTGGGGAAATGCTTAGTCAGGGATCAGTAGCAGCTCTCGGGCCAGCACACCCCCTACAAAGAATCCCATAAGAATGAAACAAAGAGTGGATGCAACGTGGGTCTTGAGGATTAGAGCAGATGAGAAGCAGATACACTTGAGGCCCATGGCCTTAATTAGGTGGTCCAGAACTCCTTGGCTGGAAGCTGCGTCAATATGGAAGGAGTGACCAGAGAACGTGCTAGGATTTGGGATGTCGTCAGGACTTGCTTGAAGTGGAAGACGAGTTGGGTTGCGGCTTGACCAGTCTCTGTAATGAACTGAGGGTTGGAGGGTGAAGCATCCTAAAATTTTTTGGTTGTATTTGGTGTACTACGGATTTGCAAGGGCTTGGTTTTGAATCTAGTTTGGAGTACATGATGGGTGTTGGATTACCCGTTTGATTGGTTTCACTTTCTTTGAATGAATGGACCAGTCAGTCTTAAGAGATGCAGGAAGGTGAAATACGAGATGCGGAAGAGGTTCCGTAGGATGGCAGTGTGAATCGAACTTAACTCGTTGGCCAACATTGCAATAAACTGTGCATGTTGCAAGAAAAAAGGAAGGCCAGAAAAAACGTTGACTCCAGAGTGCCGACAAGAGACTGGAATATAAGATGTTGGAATATTTTTATGCCTTAGGATGGGCGAATGGATGTCAGAATCAGAATCAGAATCAGAAAAAACTTTATTTATCCCCGAGGGGCAATTAGGTAAATCCATCCATCCATCCATTGTCTATACACTGCTTAATCCTGACCAGGGTCGTGGGGGGGCTGGAGCCTGTCCCAGCTGACTCAGGGCGAAGGCAGGGGACACCCTGGACAGGTCGCCAGTCTACCATAGGGCTACACTTAGAGACAGACAACCAAGCACACTCACGTTCACACCTATGGACAATTTAGAATCACCAATTAATCTCAGCCTGTTTTTGGACTGTGTGGGAGGAAGCCGGAGAACCCACACTGCATGGAGAGAACATGCAAACTCCATGCAGAAAGAGTCCTCACCTGGATGTGAACCTGCGATCTTCTTGCTGTGAGGCAACGCTGCTAACCACCAAGTCACCTTGCAGCCCGATGTCAGTGGAAATGACCATGATAAATTATACTGCAGAGGTATCATGCGATTCTGGTTTCTTGGTCACCTTCGTTGATCAAGAAACCCCTAAAAAGTGGCAGATAGAGCATGTGATGAGAGCTGATTGCTGCTTGGGATCTTGTTCATAAGTGACGGAAGAATGGCGTGTGAGATGGATGGGCTCATCATGGATCATGGCGATGAAAAAGGAGTTGAACCAGAGGGCGAAGCTTTCGATTTACCAGCCGAGCCACAGTCCAGACCTTAACCTATGGTAATAATCTTTAGACGTGACGAACAAAATTAAAGGTACAAGAAGCTGAAATGAGCCTCATCTGAAGGTTGGCTGGGTATAGCTTTGTAGATGGGATGAGGAGCTCGTGTTAGAGTTGTTGCTCTGTTGCTTCAAGGGGAGCCAGCTGAGGTGATCCAGTAAATCTGGAGGGGTGCATTTTTGACTTTTCACAGTATATTCAGACCAAATCTGTCCCTGTTGTTCTCAATATTTCCACGTGACCATGTGCAGACAAATATTAAATATTACTGTAGGGGGTGCAGGGGTGCTTTTTTCGGCACAACACCGGAAGGAGGATAGTTGTGGTCACGTGACATCAGCTCCGGGCGTTTGTTAGAAGTCTGAATAGTTTAACTTTGTTGTCAGAGCGGTGACAGATAAAGTCTATCTCTTACTGCTTTCTGAAGACCCCCGACGGTTTGGTCGGAGTTGTCATGTGGAGGGACATCGCCGGAGGATCTGTCAGGAGCTTGGGAGCGCGCTGATCTATTCCGGATGTGCCGGCTTCTCTGGACACTCGCCTGCTTCGGACATCAGCGCTGGAGCGAGAAAAAGTTGACGAGGGAGTAATACGTTTTGGTCTTCCCTGAGAAGAGCCTCCTTGGTTGTAGCTACGATCGGATGAGGAGAATCTGATGCGGCTGGAGGACGGAGAGAGGAGTTCTGGTTGGAGTCGTTTCTTAGTGACGAGCGACGCGTTGATGGCGTTTCTGGAGCGACATCGATCCCCTCGTCTCCGGGGCCTCGACGTGGATCAGGTTGATCGGCGTGGAGAAAATCTGGAGCCGGGTTGGATGTTCCCTCACAGAGGGCTGATGGATGAGCGGTCTGTGGTGAGTCAAGAGTTTTCTATAAACTTTCAGACTGAACGATGACGTGTGTTGCTCAGTGCACAAGAAGCGAGAACGAACCAGTGGGAAGGCAGGGTGGTGTATATATGTAGGGTCAGGAAGGGGAGTGATGGAGGTGTGGTCGTGCTCCTGAACCGCAGCTAAAGACTGTAGCTCCATGTTACTCACGTGTAGGATGGTAGGTCATTGCGAAAACAGCTGTCGAGAGTTAAATGTATACAGACATTGTTCTGCACAGTGAAGCTCAAACAAACAACAAATGAGCAAAACATATTGTTGAGTGAAAGGGTCCCAAGTCCTCATGTGTTAAAACACAAAACAGAAAGTTACTGTTACAGTTACAGTTTACTAGAAGAAAAGGCTGTCAATACTCAAATCAGGCATGGAAAGTTTGTCCAACAGTGTATTTTTTTAAAACTTAATGTAAACAGTTTAGTGAACATCCAGTGACTTACCTTGACATTTGCAAAACTATGAATTGACATTAGGTCCATACATACATTAATCCATTATCTACACACTGCTTAATCCTCACTAGGGTCGTGGGGGGGGGCTGGAGCCTATCCCAGCTGACTTAGGGCGAAGGCAGGGGACACCCTGGACAGGTCGCCAGTCTTTCGCAGGGCTACACTTAGAGACAGACAACCAAGCACACTCACATTCACACCTA